CTATCCCAAAAGACCGTGCACATCACTTTCCCTGCCGATGGCTGTGTCTTGAACTTCTTTTTTTCTTGGGGAATCTGGATGTCGCCATTCCATGGACTCTCTTTTGGATTCCAGCTCACAGTGGTGACACCACGTCTCATCTCCGGTGACGATGCTGTCCAGAAACTTGTCACTTTTAGCCTCAAACTGGTGTAGCAGGTCCTGACAGACTTCCATTGGGCGAGTTTTGTGGTCCTGTGTAAGTATCTGTGGGACCCACCTGGAACGAACTTTGCGATAATCCAGCTTCCCCAACATCGTTTCCAATGCATTACAGCCGATATTAAGCCATGCACACAGTTCCATGGCCGTTATCCGCCAATCTGAATGGATGAGCTGATCGAGGTGCTGTTCATTGTGAGGAGTGGCAGCTGAGCAGGGACGACCAGAGCGTGGCTTGTCGTGCACTTCACTTTCGCCACTGTTGAAACGCACTACCCACCGCCTCACTGTGCTGACATCCACTGTATTGTGTCCATACACCTTTAGCAAGTGTCGATGGATGTCACTGGGTGCAATTTGTTTGGCAGTGAGAAATTCAATAACACACCTCTGTTTCATACGCACTTCTATATCAGACGCCATTTTGGTATACTGCTCTGCTGTCACTATCTGTCATATGACAACCAAACTAACAGTACATTGGCGGAAGTTTCAGCCTTTACTACAACACCACCGACATCCAGCTCAGACATTACATATTAACACAAAAAAATAGGAGGTATTATATACAGAAAGCCCTTCGTATGTTGCTTTTACAACAAACATCCTGTGTTGTGTTATTTTTACCAATATTTTTGCTCAAAGTGAGGTATAATGATAGGAGGGGGTGGTAGATCACTGGCAGTTTTGCACTAAAAAGTTTATCACATCCAGTTTGAAGTTGGACATTCCTGTCCTATATAATGCATCATCTAAAGATTTCAACTTTCATGGAGTTTAACTCCACCCCCCCCCCCAAATACAAAGAAAGAAAGAAAGAAAGAAAGAAAGAAAGAAAACTGCAATAGTGAATCCTCCAAATGATCCAGACACATTTTGCAGAACTTTGAAGAAGTATATTTAAAACATGTTGCTTGATAGTGAAGGTGGTGATTTGTTGTAGTGGGTGCACACGCTTGCTACAAGACTGGCCTGAAAACGTTAAGTTTAAATTGACATTCTGTGAGATTGAAGATAGTAAATATTGATTTGACTTCAACTAAATGGAGGAGACATGATTCACAGATTTTGTATCTGACTGAAGAGATCTGCATATCAAAGATACACTAAGTACTGTTCCAATTTCTTCTTGTGAATGTGATGGAGAACTTTCACAAATGAATCCAAAGGTCAGGCCAGCTGAGCTTTGTTGATGATGAAAACAGTTTCAATGCTATTGTTTATTAAAATTATTGGTCTTCCCCTCCCATGCTTCAACTCCACAAGATACATGGACTCATTGCTACTCCAAAGAATGTCATTCAGCCACAGGCAGTATAAGCAAGGAATAAATTTTGGTCATTGCATGGGATGAGAACATAATGAATGTTTGGAACTCTCCATAAAACTCAGTTTAGTGTGTTTTCATGTTTTAATTCTTTAAAATAATCATAATAAACGGTATATACAAATTTCATATTTAGTTGTTTTTTGTATCTGATGTTTATCACCAAGGTAACTGAAAATGGTTTGAGGGGGTGAGCTGGAAGAAAGCTGGGAGAGAGACTTTTCAAATTTACTTTAAAAAATGAATACTTACACCTTTCTTTTTACAAAAAAAAAACACTGCTTATGTGTTTCTTACTTACTTACTTATGGAACTGAGCCCTTCTTGAAGAGCCGCCAAATCTGCAGTTACTCAAGAATTTCTCAGCATTTTATAAAACCCAAAGGTTCATTACCGTGTTCACAAGAGCCCTCCACTGGTCCCTATCCTGAGCCAGATCAATCCAATCCATACCATACCATCCTAGCTTATGTGTACACGAACAAACTAAATTATATAGTAACACTTACTTTCATATCAAACATGGTACAGTAGTTAAAAGAGAAAGTAAAAACAAATCAGACATCTTGTGTGAAATTCCATAACACAGACCTTACCACAGTTGTAAAAATAGCCCACAGTAATAGCCCCCTTGTCCCCATTGGCTCTGGTGAACACCCACCAAACTTCAGTTTAAACAAGCAAGTTACATTGCCAACACCAGCAGTAGCTGTAAGACCTTGCTGTATCACATGGAGTGATGTTGGTCTTTCCCCTCTAGAATATGCCAGGCCATCTTACTGGAAGAGAAGGATATAGTCTCATGGTGATAGGATAGGAGGTGACATTAGAAATGTGACAGAGAAAGGCATATCAAGAGGACAGCTAACTGGACTGAAAAGGAAACAGCGAGGACAAGACAGCTTGGCTCACCATAAAATGTCTCCAGTTATGGATCCTAGATTCTATATAATGTAAAGGTAATTGAAAGGGTTAAATCTTTTGTGATGATGTGGGAAGGTTTGCAGGTCTTTGTTCCTAGCTGGTTAGAGGTAAGGTAATATCCAGACAATATGTCACCTCAACCAGTCACAGTTCAGACTTATATTAAAATTAACTTCTATGCCTATTGTAGGGCCCCGATGATTGGTCTCTGAGTACATTGTGGTTTTGTGGTGATGACATTTGAGGTCTTGGAAGTTTTAAAATGCGCCATTTTTGTAATAGGTGGACCCTCGCTAGGCATTCAGTGAGACATATTCTTCTGTATTTAGCAGTTATTAACTTAGAAAACTGTATTGAAGTTAGTGATTGTGGGCAGTGCAGCAGAGAGTAAGAAATTAACCAGTCAGGTCTGATAAGTCGAGTTATTCATTGAATCAGAGAGGAAAAGTACCAAGCATTTAACTGTGAAGCACCTATTCGTGTAGCCAGTTGTTCGGAAAATTAGAGACAAACAAACTGCAATTTACAATACTGCGTGTGTATTGCCTGTATGACTTTCTTTGTATGCCTTATACAGTACAATCTATAACAGTTTTCTCATTTTGGTTATGGTACTGTACAGGGTGAGACTGTTGTAACTATCCTAAACACTGCATCTGACATTTCATATTCCATAGCACATTCATGATGCACAGGGTGAGCCTGGTGTTGCTGTATCCTGAACATTGTACCAGACTCTGGGTTATTATGCTGCGTAGTCTGGTAAATGGTTACTATGTTTAAGAAGCATGTTCAGCCTTCATCTTCAGGGTATAATTGAGCCAAGTTAGGAGAGGGGCAGGAGTTGGAGGAAACCAGGCCATGGAGGAGAGAAGTGGGGAAGAGGAGACCAAATGCGTGATGTGACTGTTGTGACTTAGTTGCTACTTCATGTTCCACATACAGTGTCCATTTCATGAAAATTATGTTTTCCATGATAATTATGTGTGACTAAAATCTAGCAACAGACATTTTCATCTCTGTGACCACCAATGAATTGCATGGATTTCTGGACACCTCTATACAGAAGACGAAATGGCACCTTGCATTATAGAGTGTACAGGCAATGTACCGGCTTCTGTTTAAATAGTATATCACCCCATGTTGGGTGAACAAGTTGGCTGTGATGTACACTTTAGAGAACAGAGCCAAGTCTGTCTGTAACCAGGTTATTCTCTGTGCTCATTTGAAATTCCTTGCAAAACTCCCAGGCAGTGTGGCTGCAGCAACAGGCAGATGATCATGCCATACCGAAACTTTCGTTCCTTTTATTGGTTCTGCCTTCAACTACGTGGACAGGCTGCTATCTAGGCACCATATAGGACTGTTGGCTTCCCACGGAGAGGAGGATCTGGTTTCCTTTGGCCCATGAAAGATGACATAGCCCTAAACACAGCAGACAGGTACAGCAAGGTCATTTGCATGAGACAGGCAGGGCATCCCACTGAGACTGCAGGAAAGGAACACCACTGACACATCTGTAAACCAGGGTTATCTCATCATGCTGCATGATACCAGTTTCCTGGGGAGAACATCCAGCCATGTGGTTCAGGAAATCAGGAAAGAGACAGATTGAGCTCCAACCCAACCATGTGAACAGAGAAGATGGTTTGTCCTTGAGTAAGTCATGAAGTCTCCCATTCACACCACTCCTTTCTCTAGGATGATGGTTCCTCTGCGTGAGGTTCTGATAAGGGCCCTTTTGTAGCTGCTGTTTTCAGGGTGAATGGTATCTATTGGTCTTCTCAGGACCTTGTGTGCTCTCTCCAAGCCCTGGCTCTGATTGGCCTGTCCTGTCCACTTTGGCCCACTTACCCACCACCCATCACCCTGTGTTACCTGCCCCTGTCCCCACTTGGCCAGAAGACAGCCTTACCCTGGAGGTGGATACAGTGTGTTCCTCCAGAGTGTTTCTAATCACTTACCAGACTGCATGGTGCCATATTTGCAGACAGTCTAAATCTACGTTGCAATGAAAATCCCAGCGCAGCTGACTGTACACATTCCATTTAGCATCGTGGTACCTGGACAGTGTTGTGGGTGTGGTGTGAACTTTGAGTCACTTGTTCTGTCTCAATGCCACAGTGGTAGGTACAGAAATGAGAGCTTTTTTGTGACTGTTTACTGAACAGTGCATCTAATTCTGCTTGTTTGTTTGCAGGGCAAGATGGTTCTGTCCCTGGCCAAAGACCCATCAGCTCGACTTCTGAAGCATGTTGTTAGGTGTTACCTTAGGCTTTCAGACAATCCAAGGTAGGTACCTTGTTGCACCTGATCTGGCACAGAATGGTATCCACTGTGACGTCACATCTCAGCAGTAGTGTTTATAGGGTTTCATTTCAGATGGTGTTTCAAACTTCCTGCCCTTCGGTGCTAGTAAGAGGGAGACTCAGTAAATGGCTAACAAATTGAAGTAAAACAGCTGTAATAGGTTTTCTGTGTGTATGACTAGGTAGCAGCACATTCCGGTTTCATGACAGTCTAGGTACCAGATGTGCACGTGCATGCTGGTTCCAGTGGTCAAAATGGCGACCGTGCTTGAGGGGTATGCTACTGAAGAGCAGAGTTCTTTTGGGCATTTTCTGTGGGCAAGAGAGCTCAATGCAAAGGATATTCATAACAAAATGTGTCCTGTTTACGGTGGGAAATGTTTGTCGCATGAAGCAGTTCACAACTGGTTCGAGAAATTCTCTCAGGGACGTTTGAAAGTTACAGATTATGCCTGACCAGGTAACCCTGGTTCTTTGGTTGTGAGACATGCTGAGTTAATTAATTTTACTCCTAAATATTGTATAGTATTGCTCTGGGGGCCAGTCACAGTAGCCGCACAGTCTAAGGCATGAATTGTCTTTTGCTCACTCGGACTCTAGGATAATGGGTTCTGATCCCACTTAAGGCTGGATGTTTGGTGTGTGTATGCATTTATTCTGTGTTTGTGTTGTCCTTTGTTTAGATAGAGGCCTTGCGACAAGCTCACTAGTCATTCAAGGAGTCCTGCTGTTTGTGAAAAAATGATTATGGCACTGAATAAGAGGCCAGGGCCCTGAATGGGCTTGAAGAGCAATTGAAAAAGAATTGTTATGGGGGTGACATCCCTGCACCCTTAAAGTGTTCAGAACTTTGCTGGGTCCATTTCTTGTCACTGAGGCTCTTTGAGAGCCTTGACTTAGCTAGAGCCAAAACTGTTCAAATTGAGTCCCTCTTGATAGCCATCAACTTCGCCCATGTGGAGCCAGAGGTCACAAATCAATGCCCAACCAAGTTTGGCACTGTTGTAATGTACTCTTTTTTTTGGGGGGCTGCTGACATTGGGATGTCCCAGACACCTGCCCTCTTACTTACTTACTCACTCAAGGAGCTGAGCCCTTCTGGAGGAGGCGCCAATTCTGCAGCTACTCAAGAATTTCCCAGCATTTTATGGAACCTGAAGGTTCATCACCATGTTCACAAGAGCCCTCCACTGGTCCCTATCCTGAGCCAGATCAATCCAATCAATACAATCCCGTCCTATCTCTCTAAGATCCATTTTAATATTGTCCACCCACCTGTGCCTTGGTCTTCCCAGTGGTATCTTTCCTTCTGGCTTTCCCACCAATATCCTATACACATTTCTCGTCTCCCCCATTCATGCTACATGCCCTGCCCACCTCATCCTCCTTGACATGATCATTGTAATTATACTTGGAGAAGAGTACAAGTTATGAAGCTCCTCATTGTGCAGTTTTCTCCAACCTCCTGTCACTTCATCTCTCTTTGGTCCAAATATTCTCCTCAACACCCTGTTCCCAAACATCCTCAGTCTATGTTCCTCCCTTAACCAAGTTTCACATCCATACAGAACCACAGGCAAAATTATAGTTTTGTGTATTCTTATGTGTTTTTGGACAGCAGATGCGAAGACAAAATGTTCTGGACTGAATTGTAGGAAGCATTGCCTGAGTTCAGTCTCCTCTTAATTTCCTCCTGAATCAGATTTTGATCTGTTATCGTTCCCAAATATCTGAACTGTGCCACATTTTCAAAACATCCATTTCCTATCTTTATGTCATGATTTTGCCCTGCATTTTGGTGATGAGACAGCAACGTATACTTAGTTTCCTCTGCGTTTACTTCTAGACCAACCTCTTTACTTGCATCAATTAAAGTTTGTGTGTTTTTCTTTATGATATCTACAGTATCACCCAGTAGATTCACATCATCGGCATAGAAGAACAGCTGATATGTCCCGTTTAATTTCAGTCCCACCTGGTTTCCCTGGACTACATAATGGCATTTTTTAAAGTAAAGTTGAAAAGGGGCGGCGATAAAGCATATTGTTTTAGACAATTCTGGATAGGAAATTTATCGGACAAATGTTTACCTACACGGACTTTACTATACATTTTGTTTAAACACATTTTATTCAACCTAACTAGTTTCATGGGTACCCCGAACTCTATCAGAATATTGTACAATACTTCCCTCCTAGCTGAACCATCAGCTTTCTTGAAGCCTATGAATAGCTGATGTACTGTGTCATCGTACTCCCATTTTTTCTCCAATATCTGACGAACGCAAAAGATTGATCTGTAGTTGATCTGTTACGTCGAAACCCACACTGATGATCCCCAATATCCAGCCCCATATATGGACTTATTCTACCATTTACTAACAGACATTAGAAGCTCTGTTGCTATCCCCAGCTGACCCATCACAATTCCTGGATAAGGTCTCAGTTTCTTAGGGAAGAGTCTCCTCTGCTAGCCTGTTCAATTCTTCACAGTCATCATAAGACCTCTTACATTGTTGCCCTTATTGGACCCTCACCAAAGCTGCTGTCCACAACATCAGAAGACCCAGAATGTGAGCTTTTCAAAGCATGGAAACACCCCCCCCCATCTCACTACACATCTGATTCTGTACCAGTCAAGACCCCAGCATCTGAAACCGGGACTTCTCTGTAGCCTGCCTCATCTGCTAGACTGTCCATTTCTCCTTGATGGTCAGATTACTTACATCAACAGAAACCTTCTAGTCACACTTCCAGTGAACTCCTTACTGGAGTCCTTACCTGGAGCCCTGATGGCATAGACCCTCCAGCTGCCCCTGATACATACTTCAGGGATAGGAGAGACCTATCCGTGGCTTCATCCAGCCCCACAACTGAGCCCTGGAGACATTTTTCCATTCCCATAACAGCAGAAGACCAGTAACTAAGTCCTCTAATGCAGGAAGACTTTTCCATAGTGATAGGAGACCACACAGCTGGGCCCCTGCTGCAGGAGGAAGGCTGGCTTAAGGTAGCATGTTGCATTGTATCTCAAGCACAGCTGCTCCCTGAGTGCTATGCAGGCCTCAGTACAATAGCTCACACTTATTGTTCTGAGGACTGCCACAAAGAGGCAGGTTGGGTGACTTTGTCCCCTGTCTCCTAAGCAGCTGGTTACTGACGTAATTCTGAAAATGTATGTGGACTGAATTCTCATGACGTCAGGTTATTTGAAGTGTAATCTTTGTCTAGTTTAATTATGGAAGCTCAGGACCATGAAGATAGTTACTGAGTTTTGTTGATGCAAGTTGTGTAAGGTGTGCAGTACAGCCCTTGCTTCACATGTCTGTTTGCAGAGCACGGGAGGCCTTGAGGCAGTGTCTGCCAGACCAGCTGAGGGATGCCACGTTCGCCAACTGTCTTCAGGATGACAAATCAACGAAGCACTGGTTGTCGCAGTTATTAAAGAATCTCGAGACCGGGCCAGTTACTGTGGGTGACCCTCGAAGTGTTGGGATCTCACCTCTTGCCCCACAGTGAAAAGTATTACTACTTGATGTGATTATGAACAGAATGTAGCGTACCAACTTTTTAGCAATGTAGTGGTTTTGATTACTAAACTGCAGGCCGTTCGCAAATCATTCCTAGATTCAGTGTACACAAGGTGCATATAATGTGATAATGGATACAAGATGTTATTGATAAAGCATATAATAAGTAATATAAGTTTAAACAGAAGTGTTATGGATTGTTATTGATTCATTAAATTTTCTTGGTACTTTTGACTGCTGTAGACAGTAAATAATAAGTTCATCTACAGTGTTGCTATGTTAACATATATCATCATTCTTAGCTTCAGCAGTCTGTGGGCTAGCCATTGCTTCAAATGGTGTAATGCATTATATGTTCTCAGCACACTAATTTGTAAACGTATGCTACAAAGAGAAATGCTAAAATTCTAATTATGTATCAGTTGGCAGTAATATATCTCACAAGAACCTTAATTCTGTAACAGTGAAATAGATTCAACATGTCATTTTAATGAAACACGCATTTTTATTTTGATCTTATTAGGCTTCTGTCTTTCATTAGTGATAATTAATATTGCATTTGTTTCTAACATGCTTTCTTACTGAATGGATTTTTTCTTCAATTTTTCTACTCCTTCCAGCTGCACTATGGCCTTGGGGTCAACTCAGCCTCTAACAGAAATGAGTACCAGGAATATTCTTGGAATATTCTTGGGGTTAAAGGGCGGCCAGCTCTTAAGGTTGACAGCCTTGCCACCATCTTTGAGCCAATTGTCTAGAATATGTGCAAACCTCAGTATCTCAGCCTTATGGGCCTCCATGGCCTGTTACAGGGATACCTTTTTTTTTTTTTTTTGTTACTTACTTAGTGTCCATTGCATCTGCTTGTGTAAATGTTAGAATGCTTAGACCCTCTAAGTAGTTCTGTCACACTGTCAAAACAGTACAGAACTTAACTGGGATTCTTTTCTTTCATAGCAAGCACACACATCATATAGAAGCACTAAAACACAGTTAACTCTATGACAGTGCCAAAACAAGATTAATATGACAGTGTTGCTGTGTCCCTTGCTGCTGTGTGACAGACAAGTTGCTTGAAGCCTGAACTTCTTCACTTACATAGTCCTTATGCATGCTTAATTATACAGACTTCAGTGTCAGCTTCATCATTCTCTCAGCACTGTTAATGTGTTACCATGATTGTTTGAGCAAGTCTTCCAAGCATATGTGGAGCTAAAAGCTACAGTTATTGCATTTTCCCTATAATATGTTGGGTCCTGTTTGACTTGTGACAGGCCACAAAAGCAAATGGTCATTTCTTTGACTGGATAAGAGCTTGTGTTCCCCGTGCTTGTGATATTACTGACTCATTACTGTGCCACAAGTACTGAAGCAGGCCTCTGTTTAGGGGGCAGTGATTGGCGAATGAGTGTGTCACAGGGTGACTGGGCACTACCCAACATGATCCCGTATTCACAGGTAGTAAAGATGGTATTAGTTGTGGCACAGTTTTAGCATAATGCAACTTCTTGCCCTCCCTGTACATACCCAATTTTTGTTTGAAGCTTTTTAAAATGTTGGTGTAATAAATATAACATGGATGGTGATAGATGTCACTTCAATCCGTAATCCTTCAAGTATATCTGTTCCTAATTTAGTCCAAGTTCATTGAGTGAATTGACAGACATTCCATCTCTAAACACAATTTTACACATTGCTTAACATTGGTGTTAGCTGTGCATAATGGATCAAGTAATGTAAATAACAGTTAGGGTTTGAGTAGTGTCAATTATAGTGACACAAAGGAACTTAACCCTTTAAAGCTCAGTGGTTACTGTATGTACCACCTTTAACATACTCTGCAGTCTGCATACAGAGTGTATTTGTATGTTTCATGTGGTTCTCAATAAACCTTTTTTCCCTAAACTTCATTAACAGATGGGATGTTATAACATAGACGTAACATGTTTCCTGTGAGGTAGACTTAATTTTTATGTAGAACTGAAGACAAGGCTTCATGTGATGTTCTGTTTACTTTTGTGGCAGTTATGTAGAGCATATCTTACTGGTAAGTTTTGCAGTGTAAATGTATTGACAGTAGTGATGTTGAAATTGCTGTCACCATATGTACTGGATATGTGGTCGCTGAGTACATATATTGATTACAGTAATTATAAGTAAGGAATCTTCTTCCACTAATAAGACTGTTCCCTAAGGAAAAATATGAATGCCTTAGTACATCCAAGGTCTAGTGCACCATTGCTCTTAGGATAAACTGGCTGAAACTCATCCTTGCTCAGTCCAGTCTGGTACTTCAGTGCTACTGCCATTAGATCATTGAAACCTCTGGTTCATAAGAGCTTCAGCCACCACTGCTGTATTTCACACAGGAGCAGGCCTGTTCATAAAAGCTTCAGCCACCACTGCTGTATTTCGCACAGGAGCAGGCCTGTTCATAAAAGCTTCTAGTGAAAGAGAATTCAGCAGGAGCACCTGGTATGAATTCTGGCTCCATAAATTCATTTAATGATTTGTATGTTTCTTAGGACTAGGAAAAACTGTTCTTTAAATTTATCATTATACACCTGTAAAACTAATTTAGCTAAATTTATTACCCATACACTAATATCAAGTTATACAATAACAATATGTAAACCAATTGCTAAAATAATTACTCAGCAAAATCCATTCTGATAATAATGTTTCAACTTTTCCTAGCTGTCATGTAATCTCATTTCACTTGACTGAATAGTTGATTACTAATTCCAAAATATTACATTTCATGAATTCCATTCACCTCATTGTCTTGTATTGTATTTATTACATGTTCCAGAGCATCCATACAAGGCCGAAGCCAGCGGATACAGAACCTAATACACCACAAGCTTGCTAATTCAGCAAGTAGTCAACAGAACAATGTATATAAATCCACAACAATAAATCGAGCATACGAAACCCCTACACATCACTGCAGCTACATAACCTACCATGACAGTGATCACCAGAAGCTGACCCTGGTTGCCATTGTTAAGGTGGTCATGACTGCTGTAGGTTGGCTACTACCCATGGTTGCATAATTTAAAGTTGGCCTCCTGTGAAGCAGCTTTATAATGTGATGGAATACTCCTCTGCTAGACAGTGACTCATTAAAGCATGTTTCTGTGACAAGCATGCCTTGATGCCTGAAAGCTGGGATAAACTGTTGCTGGACAATGCTTTGGTGAACACATTTTAGAGGTTACACAGTCAGCAGAGGGGCTTTTGTTGCTAGGCAGCAAGTCCCATGGCAGCATATGGAACAGAATAACATGCCCTGTTTGAGATGGTGATCTGTATTAGGGCTGCCTGGAAGTTAGTTTAGTCAGGAGAGTTCAGTCATTCAGCAGTTGTTTGTGAGAAGGAGTTCTTCATTGATGATTCATCACAGTGGAAGGGAAGACACTCACAGTACAATAAGGAATGTAGCAAGTCATAGAGAATCACTGATTATGAATTGTCATTTGTTGATTGTAATTGTAAAGAGGTCTCAGTAAATCCATCAAATTCAAAACCCATTGTTATCCATCATGCAAACTCCGAATATATGTGATACTTTAATTGCCGCTTAGCTGTATGTCATTTTGCATTCAACAGGAAGAGTCCTAACGAGGGCATACAATATAATCATGAAACTAATACAAAAGAAAATTTTCTGACTTTGCCACTTTACAGACTAGAATAAAAATGGCTGCTCTTATGTAATCAATCGAGCAACAATATGAATCATTTTTTCTGCAAAAGTATATGGAATTCAGTAACTTAAAACAATGAAATAAAATGTAAAAGTAATATTTCTGTAGAAACCATAATGAGGTCAAAAAAGGTGGAGCTTTACCTCCACACCCCTCTTTGTCTTCATGGCATAGTGCTTGGTTAATTAAGTAGAGGGACAATTTTACCTTTTGCCCTTTATTAATTATAGTTGCATGCTTCTGTCCCTTCCAGTCAGCCAGTCCTTCAGCAGGGTGCTATTGGATGACCTCAATAAATCTAGAGCACTCTGTTTGTAAGAGTGGTAAATCCCTGGATTATTCTTTACTTATTAATTATTAATAAATTTATGAATCCTGTAGTGTTTGGAACTGTGATCCCAGGAAGTTTGCAGTGAAATGTTATCTGACAGTGCCTAACATACAATTCATACAAAAATGTGTTTGACAGCATGTATATCTACCGTGGCCACTCACAGTGATAGCCAGTATGAGTTGATTTGCTGTTGACATTTTTGATTCACTCACAGTGATAAGAACCATGTAGCATGCAGTTTGACTTACTCATTAGGAGACAAAAATTGATTGCATACTCATGGAATGTGAATCTTATCAGAGCCATTTACTGACTGCAGTTGGCCTGTGTAATTCTAGGCTCATGTCAGAATGATGTGGTAGCCTTCATTTGTAGCTAGGCTGCCACTGGCAAGTGATCAGAAAGTGAACTGACACAAGTGTGTAACTTAGCAAATAGACACATCAGTGCCCAGAATATAGGGCTTACAGCAGGTCCTCATTTGGTGACATAACATCCTGATGAAATATGGATAAGAGTCCTGCCATAAAACTTAAATACAGTAGTTAAGACTTAAGTCACACTATCATTATATACTTTTAGATCTCGCACACAAACGTTCCATGTACACTGAGTCATACTGGTAATGGGAAATGTCATAACACACCTAAAGGAAGAAGGGCTTGTAATATGCATGCAAGCATAGCAACACACTGCACACATGGAAAGCCAGAGGCCTTCATTAAATAGACATCATTACATCGTGTGGTAATGACTGGTGCTGCAGCATTCAAATTAGGTGGTGGTGAAACGAACTATTGCCATCTAAGTGTAGTTCTACCTCTTACCAGCAATTGGCAGGGGTCAGAAAATCCAGTCAATGACAGTTCATCAGCACCAGCTCATTGAGTTATGTTTTTAACTGCTCTCACTTTTTATGCATAGAGCACCAAATGAATATTTTAATTGCTATGCAATAGGTGAATAAAGAACAGTGTTATGTGTTATGTTTCTAGGCAATAGATCAGTAAACACGTTCCCTCAACAATGAATATGCACACAAAAATAGATTTACTATTGGAAATTGTGTTTTGTACTCGGTCCATGCAAGGAAAGAATTGGGGTAACTCGGTAGACATTTGTAAATAGTATAAAATATCTCGGTGTAATCTTTGATAAGGGGGTTACATGGAGATTGCACATAGAAATGATCAAAGCCAAGGCCTTCAGAACATTTATAAGATTGTATTCCCTATTCAGAAGTGAGCGATTAAGCGCAAACATTAAGCTGACCCTCCACAAAACTCTCATTAGATCTGTAATGACTTATGCTAGTCCCATCTGGAAATTCGCGGCACATACCCATATAATGAAATTGCAGCGCCTGCAAAATAAGGTCCTCTGCACCGTTGGCAATTTTCCAAGGCACACACTGGTTCACAACTTACACATGGCTTTCACGCTTCCATACGTACATATATAATTATACATGTATAACAAAATTATGCAGCCAACAAGCAAAAGCCATACAAAATCTTGATAACGAAAATGTTCGCAATAATGGACAAAGCGAAGCTCGACATAAAAAGTATAAGATGCTTAAACTTTGCGGCGGTCAAGCATACGGCCGTTCAAATGACTAGACTGCCGTTGTAGCGGATGCTACTAGAAGTAGGACATAATCTGCTGAACTGGCAGAGGCCCTGTATATATTTTATATACATTTATTAACATGTTTAACGCGTAAAATATAAATATCCTGTACATTATGACAAATGACTTACTACTGCAGATAATGACTAACAAAAGATAGACCCGTCCTCTTGTCAGAGAGGGCACGCCACAAAAACAAGACCGAAACTGTCAAACAGTAATAAATATCTGTTCATAAACTCCAGGTTGGGCTTGATACCAAGACTGACTGACTGTCAGTCGCAATGTGACTTTGACACAGTGGAGAACCCCGTGTGGAGGCGGGGTAGAATACCTCCACCATGACACTGCGAGTCGTAGGAGGCGACGAAAAGGGCAGTCTCAGATCTGAGACAGTAAAATATGGTTGCGAGTTCCAAGGGACTCGGACCCAAGAGAGACTGCGCTTGCTAGGGTCAGCAGCATATAAAAGAGACTCGTCCTCTCAGAGAGGACACACCACAAAAACAAGACCGTAACTATCAAACAGTACTAAATATCAGGCCATTACTGACCGTTAGTCGCAGTGTGACTTTGACTTTGACAGAGTGGAGTCGGGGTCGAATACCTCTACCATAGAGCCCTGTGAGTCATAGGCGATAAAAGAGGAAGTCTCGAATCTGAGACAGTAAAATATGTTCGTGAGTCCCACGGGACTCTGACCTGAGTATGCCTGCGCTGGCGAGATTCAGCAGCAATTATAGAGGACGGGTCTGTCGTTTACAATTGCTGCTGGCCCTCGCAGAGCGCCCCACATCAACAAACCCGCAACTGTCTGACAGTAATAAGAATCTGGTCGTAAGCCCCAGATGGGTGCTTTATTCCAAGACACACTGGCCGACTGACCGTCGGTCGTAATATAAGACTCGACTCGACACTCAGTTGAAAGGGGTTGAAGAGAAGACGAGTTTGGTGTGAAATGGCCTCAAGCCTGGCAGTTGTTAGTTGAGAACTGAGGCTGTGAAGATACATAGAACCTGAAGGCGTGAAGCTGAAGAATCACCACTGGCAGAAGCCGTTACCATGGAACTTATGATGACGAAGCAGGCTGGCAAGTGGCTCAACGGGTTCTGTAGTGATTTTTAAACTGTGGAGATCAGCGACAGCGCTGTAATTACTTGTAGTTCCGAGTGGTATGTATAAATGTCCAATATATCCATTCACAAACCCGCATCCTGTTTTTAGTTACACCCCCACACGTGACAGTATCAAATTTTGTTTTGAACTGGGTGGAACGCCAGTAGAGACTTGTGAAATGTTGCGGACTGTCTGTGGTGATGAAATCTTAATTCGTAGCACTTTATAGCAGGGCACTAAACTACACAGGTTTGTGTGATTATGAACGGCAGATTGCAAGGAAGCGTTCGTCCCCTATGCCGTACCGACTGAATTTCTTTTGGGGTTATTTAACGACACTTTCAGCTGGTGGGGGTGACTGCTGTGCAAGATGAATTGGAAAGGATTTCGAAGGAAGTGGCCGTGGCTTAATCAAGGCAGTATCCCCGCATTTTCCTGGAAGGACTGAAGAAAATCGTGACAAAAACTCAATCAAGATACCCGAGATTCGAGCGCAGAAACTCCCGATTACGAGCATAGAGCTTTATCTCTAGTCAGACTGCTAGATAAGGTGAAAAGGTAAAGTCCCTGTGCTAATCTAATTAAGCACTACGATATGAAGGCGAATGGGGGAGTTGATGTATAGATCCACATTTCCTCGACCTCGGCACTAGTTGGAGGTCAGCTTCACGCCCCGGCCGCTTTACCCCCGGGGAAAAAGCCATTGGTACCCGCTGGATATGACGCTGGGTGGACCATATAGTCAGTCTGGACAACGTGGAGAAGAGAAAATTCTGGGACTTGAACTCCGTCCCCTCGGTCTTCCAGCCCGTAGCCAGTCGCTATATGTGGTTGACTGGATTTCACATCTTTCTTTGCAATTTTGAAGTTATAGATAAAGGGATGCGTCGGGTTGGGACGAACATGAGCAATGAAGAGGCAAGAATCTGGAAGGAGGCTGGTTTCTAACCCGCCTGTCGAATATTGAGACTCGGTAAAACGGCCGGTTTCGAACTCGGACGCCCCAGAGCTTTACCTCTCGGCGCTAGTTTGGCTGTAAATGAATGGATCTCCAGGATGTTAAATAGATTGATTCAGAGCTTATCCGATGGTTTAATACGGTGAGGATCAGACAAAGTATTAGTGGGGAAATGCGACAGTTTGGAAGGCGCCGATGAATGGATCACTGGCGGGCGGTAGAGGGGGACAGCATGTTGGTGGAGGGGGCGGGGAATGGCTCTGGATCTAGGAGCAGCTGAGGCAAGCAGCCAGTCGCTGTCAGAACGCGGTGTGTATTTACGCAGCTGCAGGGGCCCGGGAAAAGAGACCTGCAGAAAACACGTTGTGATGCTGTTATGTGGGCTCATGTGATGATAATATTATGTGACCTAGTCAGTGTGTGTGCGTGTGAGTGAGTGTTTTGGATCCAACATTCTTCTTCCCCGCAGTGATGACACTTGTTTACTGCTTCTGTTCGCCCGTAAGTATGTGCAGTGTAATGTATGTTTGATTCGTGGTCGATTCTTAGGTTATTTATCTGTTGCGCTGGGACAAGTTTTCTCCAAGTACTTCCGTTTCCCCTACCAATTCTTATTCCATCGACTGCTCCACACTTATCATCGTCTATCATTCGGAGCTGGTAGAATAGGACCGGCGTACCAAGTTGACTCAGTCTCACCCCACCCAGATAAATTATAAAAAAAGTTATTTAGCGACGTTGTTTCAGCTGCTGATATTGTGTAACGACGAATTTGATGGCATGATCAGGACTAATGAAGGGCTAAAGATTTGGAAGGGAGCGGTCCTGCTGTGTTTTACCGGAGTTAGCCAGGAGGTAAAATGAGGAGCTTCACGCAGAACAACTGTGCCAGGATGCTGGGTCTACTGGGTGACCTGGCCGGTATTTCGATTGACTGCGTCTCCAGTACTCACGAGGAGAATTGCTATTCTCTGGACCAGTTTACAGCTGGCTGAAGGTGTCTGTTTTGATAGTCTCATTTCCCACCGCCCTGTATATGTCATAAGCAGGCTGAAGAGAAGAAGGCTGCAGAGGGGTGGGGTGTGCAGCGGAGGCAAGGATTGCATGCGCGATTCTAATGGGGCTTCTCGTGAAACAGAGCAAACTTGGAAAACTGTCCACGTAATCAAGTTTATATGATGAGCCTTTCGAGAAATTTATTAACAGTTTGTTAGATCTGAGGTTCCCAGACCATTGGCTGTGAAGAGCCCGGTCTGTGGGAGTTGTAACGCCGTGAAATATGTAGATATTTTCGGAGTAACATATTGAACCTATCATCAGGGTGGAAGAGTAAGCAAGGCAAGAAACCAGCAGAATCAGGCGTCAAGCTCAGTTTGCAGGCGTTTTCTTTGTTGTTAGTGGGGTGGGACTAAGTCCCTTGTACTGCGGCCACTTCTGGCCTATTGTACCAGCCCCAGATGATAGGCGAGGGTGATCGTGGAGCAATTGGAGGAATGAAGATTGGCAGGGGAAACCGAAGTACTCGGAGAAAACCTGCCCCAGCGCCACTTTGTCCGCCACAAATCCCACTTGACCAAACCCGGGATTGAACCCGGGCCGCAGCGGTGGAAAACCAGCGACTAACCGCTTGAGCTATGGCGCGGCCTTGCAGGCGTTACATGAGCTGCTTGAAGTAAATGTTGTAATGATACGTACCAAAATAAAATTAAAGCCACCTGTGAAATTCCATATTTAACAAGAACTAGCCCCCTCGCATTGCAGATGCGTCCATGTACACGACTCCAAGGTCCAATTGAAAATAGACATACGTGTATGCTTTTTCCAAATACATTCCATACTATTTTGCGTGTTCCTCGTGTTCCTTTGGGCTTATTTGCAGATACGCAAGAATTTGTTTACACAACTTCTGAATGGAGGAATACTGTGTTCTCACTTTAGTTACTTGTTCATTCTGGTATCGAAAATTATTATCACGTGTTTGTATGACTATAGAGGGAATTTGGAGGGGTGAATACATTTACTGAGCACTTACAGGTCGTAACTACAAATAACTAAAATATTGTCCTTATTTCTACACTTCTCAGTTCACTAGAATACACAGTCTACTGTTATTAGTCTGTTATTAGACGTTTCCTGGTAACAGCTCCAACAATGACCATTCCTCTGCCTCCGGGATCAACTCCTCTCTTCACAGATTCCCGTACAGAACTGACTAAGTCCAAGTCACATTGCAGCTGACGGTCAGTCTGTCAGTCAGTAAATCTTGGTGTCGAGCCCCATATAGGGCTCATGACCAGATATTTATTACTCTTTGGCATTTACGGTCTTGTTTTTGTGGGGCGCCCTCTCTGACGAGAGGACGGGTCTGCCTTTTATTACTCTTTGGCATTTACGGTCTTGTTTTTGTGGGGCGCCCTCTCTGACGAGAGGACGGGTCTGCCTTTTGTATGCAGGTATGCTGCTGGCCCTTGCCAGTGCAGTCATTCTCGGGTCTGAGTCCGTTGGGACTCGCGACAATATTTTACTGTCTCAGATTTGAGACTTCCCTTTTCGTCGCCTCCTACGACTCGCAGGGTCACGGTGGAGGTATTCGATCTCGCCTCCACACGGGGGAACTGACTAAGCTTCAGACCTCCGGGTTATAAAATCTCTGCACGGACCACATGGAAAACATAGTTATTAATTTTTTTCTGCGTGTATGTTGCGGTAGTTAAGCTATTTACAGAGTCACCGCTTAACAACGGGTCTAGACGCCACAATATTAAAATATGAAGACTGCTCTCCTCTGAATTATGAATTTACCCTGAAGAAGGAGGTAGTTGGTTTCTTCGAAACGTCAGTAGCCATCTAGCGACTCATATGCTGTTATATATCCCTAGATGACAGTCTCCATATTCACAACTGTGAGAAGATAAGATCTAGGGGGGTCGAAGTGTACGTAGGCACACTAACAAAATGTTTGTTGTATTGTACAGAAGTGTTTACAATAAATCGTTTTTGAGTAAATGGAATTCGTGACTGTCACAGTGGAAACTGCGAAGAGAACGATATTCTAGGTTGTAGCGCCATGTAGTTTGGTAGAAATCCAGCAACGTTTCGGAGTAGAGTATCGCGTCCATGCTCAGGGTGGAAGAGAAAGCCAAGCAGGCAGGCAGCAAGACGAGTAGTCTGATTGCTGTATGGGATTCTGTGGTCTGATAAGTGCCAAATAAAATTCTAGGCCTGAAAATGGATGCCCCATAATTTTCACAAAACTTGACATGTGTAGACACTTTACACTGTTATCCAACAAGTGAAGTCTGACGATGTGGAGCCGTCAGTACCTAGCTGGACGCCTCAAAATATTTGTGCGTCATTCATTCATTCATTCATTCATTCATCAATGGCTCTACATCGCTTCGTCGGACCCTGGTCGCTTTATCACTTTTCGTAATCCCATACACAGGCGATAGGAATCCTTGGACTGGGGATCAGCCCGTCGCAAGGTCTCTACATACTCACAGGGCAACACAAACAGAATAAACGCACACAGACAACCATACCTCGAGTGGGATTCGAACACACGACCCAAGTGTTCGAGCGTACGAAGACAGTTCATGCCCAGATCGGAATGTTGGGGGGGGGGGCAGTTCTGAGTATAGTCGTAATTTGGTTGTGTCGATTTCAGATGTTTTTGTCTGCAGCCACCTTTATACTGTGTGTGTGTGTGTGGGGGGGGGCTTCTGTGTATCGTATTTGGTAGCCGAAATGTCACATGTGGTGGGTTCGAATCCCACTCGAGGCATGGATATCTGTCTGCGTTTTTTCTGCATTTGTGCTGTCTTCCGTGTAGGGCAGCGGCCTTGGGACGGGCTGATCCCCCGTCCAAGGAGTTATACCATGTCTGTATAGGATTAGGAAACCGGAAAAGCGACCAGGCGCCAACAAAGGGCCATTGATGAGTGTATGATATCGGAAAGTAAGCGAATGAACAAACAGGCTTGCGGCAAAATGCTTTCGAATTGTGTGTTGACATGGAACACGCGAAAATCTGTTTTCTTGATGGCTTTGAGACATGTCCTTCGGCGATGTCTTCAGTAAGTGAAGGAAAATTGTAAAGGAGTACAGTTTACGCTTAGGTTATGTTACGTGGTGGGGGCAGCTGATAAGTGGGTCCCTGGTTAAGTCGTTCTGTTTCAGTGAGTCGCCAACAGCACTAATAATCTGTTATAAACTGTCGTCTTGCTAAAAGGCCTTCAGTAATGCCGTGAGTGCAGAGAAAACGGAAATTGCGAGCAAATTAACTTTCAGGTCAGTATCATCTGTCATCTGATGTCGAGATTTTGAGTTTCTCGCGGCTGACACTATGAAGAATAGTGATATGACACCGTGTAGTGACGTTTCGAAGGAAGTTATTGCCTCCATCTGCAGGATCAAAAGGTATCAAGCCGAATATTCAGCTTCATTGTACTTGCTGCTGAATCATCAGCCATGAAAACCCGAGGGGGGGGGATGTGATCTTCTGAAATTTCTGTAAATGTTTACTAGACTAGACGTCGTCAAGTTCTAGATGAGAGTATCCTGCTGTTCTTTTATATTTCTGTTTCCATTCAGGAAATGCATCTATCCTTAATGTTTATGTAAATGTAAAGCACGACGCAATGAAGGCGTATACGGGAGTGGATGTATAGATCCACGTATTCTTGACACCGGCACTAATGGGGGATTAGTGGTCGGTCTCACGCCCCGGCCGCTGTACCCCCGGTACCCCCAGAACCAGCCTGTAGCCAATAGCTGCACCGACTGCTCTGTTTATGTAAACCTATACACTGTAACCTTTTACCTCATGTCGGTGTGGGGGGCAGCGGAGAGTCTTGCTTGAGAACAGAGTAACAACTAAAGTAATGAAATTAACGTGAAATTCGTGTGAAATGTCATTAACTCAAAAGGGAAGAGACGGGAGGGACAGATTGGTAGGATACCCGGGCCCGAAACTGAGGATGACATTAGAAGAATCGGCTGGACGCAGTGTGAAGTGGATTGAACTGGCTTTTGGTAGAGTCCACTGGCAGAATTTTAAGGACTGGGCCATGAAATTACGGTCTCCAAAGTACCAGAGAACTCCTGACGTGCTGAATAACTGTGAAATGTTCAGGCAAATTGTGCGCCATCCCTGTAACGTGCCACGGAGGGCCATAGTGTTGTGAGACGGCGAGGCTCCCACATTTTCTAGACAATCGGATCACAGATGGCGGTGAATTTGTCAGCCTTACGCTCCGGACGGCCGCCCTTTAACAGCAGGAAGATTCCTGGGACTCATTTCTGTTAGAGGCAGACTCGATCCCAAGGCTGTAATGCGCCTAGAAGGATTAGTTCATTAGGATAAAACCAATCACCTCATCGGGAATCGAACCCGCGACCTTCCGACTTGTAGAACAGGGCCTCAACAAACTACGCTATGCATTTAGTTCTGCCATATTCTTCCATTTCGATATCTCGCAACGCTTGTTCTTGGTAAGTGG